GCCCCCATACATCTTTGAAAATTATTCATATTTCCTTGTTTTGGCTATTCGCTATAAACATGCTGGTCAGGTTTTTAAAATGTTTCTTCGTATCTGTTTACTACTGCATGGTTTTCTATCAATTGCATATAGTGAAGGTATTCGTTTAATTCTGTTATTTGCTAGTAAGCTTTTAAGTTTAATTATTAATTGATTTTCCAATGTGTACCTGCCAAGGTGTATCTGGAGCCACGAATGATAGAAAATAGGTTACTGACTGTTGATGCGATGTTGCACCCTGTGATTCAGGAAATAAGGCCAATTTTTGATTCCGTCACAGTAATTACAAAGCACAGGCCTATAATTCACTTTTCTTATATTTTGTCTACTTTTCACAGTTACGAGAACAAGTAGTGAGGGATTTTGTATTTCAAAATTTGTGTAATTAAGGTACTGTAATTTTTGTGTAGGTCCATATATGCTTAACTGTTCATGCTTACCAATTACAGTACCGCGAACAGGCCGCATTCAGCGGTCTTTTGCGAGGCTGTGAGTTACTGGGACGCGTCCAGTTGGAGGAGGTAGCTTCAGAAAGAAAACGGGCACTCATGTATACATGACATAAGTTTAAATGAAACCGTCTTCTATCTTGTCACCCTCCCATCGTTTTTAAAAGAAAATTTTAAAGAAATAATATTAGATTAGCCTGAAAGTTTTTTCTCATTAATGATCCCCCATCCCCTATCCCGGGGCCGGGGCGACCATCACCCCTCTCGTTCCGGTCGGCCAAAATACTGCAAGTAGGCCTATTGCATATTAATATTCTAAAGCATAATATTGAATACTGTATCATCTTTAAATATGATTTTAGAAAGATCTTTGCAAATGAAAGACAAATTAGAAAGATCTCTTGAGCCAATAAGTTTGTTATTAAAAATTATTAAACCACGCCTTGACACATGCCAAGTAGGCCTACTCAAATCCCCCTGGAGAGCAAGACCGCATTTAAACTTGACGGATCTTCCAGTGGAGTGTTTGATCAGGTGGAATTTATACACACTAACAATTCCCTGTACGAACAAACAAGTGTAAGACAAAATAATTATACAAAAAAAACATGGAATTATATTCACTTCGCTCGAGACTTTGATGATCTATTTTGTTACAGTTTTTTCAGACAAGTAAATTTGGAATCCCCGACGTTATCTGACACAATGGGTTACATCACAGTAATTTTAGGCTTTGAAATAAGCATAATTATAATATAGATGATGTAGTCAATTTCACGCTCATTTATTTATGACCAAAGTGTACTGCATTAGAATTGTTTCAGTACACAAGTGCAAATATATAATTCGATTAGGCTTGCTAATTAAGGGTATTTATACCATCAAAACGTTTGGGCTAGGCAAGAATCTTCTGTAGTGCCGAAGCTAATGAACCTAAAAATTTTGTGTTGAAGCAACCAGCTGAAAATGCTGTCATAATATAATATTTTTAAAAAAACACATTCAGCATTTTGTTATGAGAACCTCTTTAACCTAACAGCCCTAGTTTTCTTACAGAGAGGCTCATTTAGTGACTCTAATTATAGATCGGAATTTCCATTCTTTGGAATATACCATCAGGTTATTTTTATTGTTATTTTAATATTTCAATAAATAATGCTTATTATATTTTTACATACTACAGTAATTGCTTTTGTAAATTACAAGATAGAACTATTTGATGCTTTAAGTATTCTCATTATGAAGCTTACTTAGTTTAGTTATTTTAGTAAGTTTGGAATCCCCGACGTTATCTGACGCAATGGGTTACATCACTGTAACTTTAGGCTTTGAAATAAACATAATTATAATATAGATGATGTAGTCAATTTCACGCTCATTGATTTATGACAAAAGTGTTGCATTAGAAATGTTTCAATACATATTAGTGCGAATCTATAATTCGATTAGGCTTGCCAATTAAGGGTATTTTATACTATCAAAACGTTTGGGCTAGGCAAGAATCTTCTACAGTGTCGAAGCTAATGAATCTATACAGTTTGTGTTGAAGCAATCAGCTGGAAATGCTGTCATAATATAATTTTAAAAACACATTCAGCATTTGTTAATATGAGAATCTCTTCAACCTAACAGCCTTAATTTTCTTACAGAGAGGCTTATGGAGTGACTAATTATTAATTTAGTACAGGTATATTTTAATAAATAATGTTGTGCTTATTATTTTTTTATATACTACAGCAATTACCTTTGTAAATTACAAGATGGAACTATTTGATGCTTTAAGTATTCTCATTATGAAGCTTACTTAGTTTAGTTATTCTAGTCGTCTTTAAAATGGTATGACAAATATGATATTTAGTAATTATGGAACATTTTTGTTTTGTTTGATTATTCTTAAAGTTTTGATTGTTTTACTTGTTACAAAATAGAGTTCATGATGAAGAAGAGTCCCGTGTAATTAATGCTCAACTAATCAAAACATATTTAAGATACTTGTATGACTAAGTACTAATCAGTACACTTTACTTTGAATAACAAATTCTTTTTTAATGTAGTCTGTGTAAACTTTTATTTTGAGACATCGCATTATGAAGTTACATTTGTGGAAACAGACTACTATTACGATTTTAAAACATGGAACGAACTTAAAAATTCATGTGAACAATCAGGCTACCAACTTGTGAGCATCACCACTTCACATGAAAACGATGCGATCTTCAACTTCCTCCAAGATAATTGCACACGTGGAGACTACGCCATTGGATTATCACGCGAGATGGGAATGCCTAGAAGCAGTCTAAGTAGTTGGAACTGGGAATCCGGTGATCCTGCTATGGAGTTCATTTGGGGTGGTAGCGGTGTAGAACCAAATGTTATAACTTCTTCGTCCGCAGTAGTTTATATGACGACCCTAAACAATTTTGAATCTGGCAAATGGTACGACATCCATAAAAACACGCAAATAGGACTTTCAACTGGTAGTCCTGGATATGGTTATATTTGTGAAAAATCAATAAGTAAGTGGTAGTAATCAATCAACACCTTAAATATTATCAGCCCACTGAAATATATAATGTGCACTCAATACTCACGTAAACCTGACACATTTCAAACACTATTATAGGCCTATCATAATGCTGCACAGAGCCCGACTCTTATAAACCTCTTTTTCATTTCTCAGCAACCACGCAATTATCCACGACTGCTGGTAGAACAACAATACAGTCATTTACCAGTCGTATACTGCTGAATTCCACTTATCGTAGGCCTACAATAATATCAACCATGGCAATTAATGAAGCCAACGAAAGAAGTGGTAAGTGCTAGGCTTAAAAAAATGTTAAAAGATGTTAATTTTGTTTAGTTTTATATAAAACTTTTTTCAAAATGTCAAACTCAAAGAGCTCAATCACCAAGCGCATAGAGGCTTTTTCGCATGATGCGCTATACAAATCCAACTATTATTATTATTAACTCAATAAGGCTCTGTTCACACATTTTACGTGACGAATTTGTGTGACATGTCAGTTTATGGATATGATGATGTCATATTATAGAGTAACACCCAAATATGGGCATATCACATTTATTTGACAAATACAATTTGATAGTTTGATAGAGCATAACGTTTAAAAGTATATAAGAAAATATTAATCATTTGGCAATTATAATAAATGACTTTTTTCATTAAAGATCGGATTAGATTATTTTTTTCAATTTATAAACATGTGTCCAAATAATTGTTTCTTTTCAGATTTAATTATGATCGTGATTGTATCAGCGTCACTCGTTGCAGCAATTGTAGTCCTGATTTTAATCTATAGGTGTGTATGCCGGTAATATTTAAACATTACCGTACTTAGTTCCGTGTTCAAATTAGAGATCATAATGAATAATAAACTCAGTTAGTATATTCTTAAAACTTCTGTTTTAATTATTGTACATTTACGGGAAGGAAGGGGATGGCTGCCACTCGAGGGTTTAACTCGCGACCTCAAGATCGAATCCGAGCTACAACCGTTGCACCAACCACTTGCACTCAGTGTATAGATACGTAATTCAATAAATACGATTTTCTTTTTTTATAACTTTATTTTTAGGATTCATTATCGATTGTGTTGCAAGCCGAATAACAAAACAAGGCAGGAACTTACGAATGGTGATGACGTTACATCTTGTGATATATACAATATCAGTTTGAATAACGGTAAACCATTATGTACCGAAAACACAAAAGGAGAAAAAACGCATCCAGGTACTATTGAAGGTCAAGGCAATAATACGCCATTATACGTGAATCATAGCTCAAGTGGGCATGCCAAACAGCGTCCAAATAATTATGAATGTAGAAACAATCCAGCTTATGAACAATATCAAGAAGAGGAAATGGTGCACGTGTATGCTGACATCAGAGACGACAGTGAACGTAAAGTTAACGAAGCTCTTCCAAATGGTCCGGAAAGACTTTACGATTTACCAGAATAATCGAGTGATCTGGTGATGTATACTGAAAAGGACTTATTGTAGGATCTGTATAAACTTACAGATGCCTGGTGTACAAAACCTGACAGAAAAATAAAACATGTTGCTAATGGTAGAAATCGGTTATAAAAGTTTGATGAGGATAATCGTGATGATGATGATGATGATGATGATGATGATGACGATGATGATGACATCAACACCACCATCATCATCGTGCTGCCACCACCACCATCATCATCGTCGTCATCAATATCATCATCACAAACATAATTGTCGTTATCCCGCATAGTTCAATATATAATGTAACCATTTGTGTATAGGCTTCAACAATGACATTCAATACAATACAACTTCAATAAATATTGTAGAACAAGTAGTCTTCTGAATCAGATTCAGAGCCCTCATGAAAGAGTCTGTAGTGCAAAATAAAATGTTAAGTTTGTAACTAGTGTCTTTGATTAAATTTATATTGCTCTATGTGTGTATTGAGCACTTTCGTCTTCACGATCTGTTTCAAACTAACCACGCAGATTATATATATATATCTGAAAATTTTTCTCATAAGTGATCCCCCATCCCCCATCCCGGGGGCGATCAGCACCCCCTCTCGTTCCGGTCGGCCAAAATACTGCAAGTAGGCCTATTGCATATTAATATTCTAAAGCATAATATTGAATACTGTATCATCTTTAAATATGATTTTAGAAAGATCTTTGCAAATGAAAGACAAATTAGAAAGATCTCTTGAGCCAATAAGTTTGTTATTAAAAATTATTAAATCACACCTTGATACATGCCAAGTACTCAAATCCCCCTGGAGAACAAGACCGCATTTAAACTTGACGGATCTTCCAGTGGAGTGTTTGATCAGGTGGAATTTATACACAATAACAACTCCCTGTTCGAACAAACAAATGTAAGACAAAATAATTATACTGTACAAAAAATCATAGGCCTATGTTGGATTATGGGCGGAAAGACGATATTTCCGTGAGTTTTGGCAAAACAAAAAAAATCGTCATACCACAGGAATCAATGCGTGACACTGTAAACAATGTAATGTGCTCAAAATCAGCTAAAGCTTCTGTAAATACCAAGAGTAAAGTCAAATGAAATGAAATATGGAATTATATTCACTTCGCTCGAGACTTTGATGATCTATTTTGTTACAGTTTTTTCAGACCAGTAAGTTTGGAATCCCCGACTTTATCTGACGCAATGGGTTACATCACTGTAATTTTAGGCTTTGAAATAAGCATAATTATAATATAGATGATGTAGTCAATTTCACGCTCATTGATTTATGACAAAGGTGTACTGCATTAGAAATGTTTCAGCACATAAGTGCAAATATATAATTCGATTAGGCTTGGTATTTTATACCATCAAAACGTTTGGACTAGGCGAGAATCTTCTGTAGTGTCAAAGCTAATGAACCTAAAAATTTTGTGTTGAAGCAATCAGCTGAAAATGTTGTCATAATATAATTTTAAAAAACACATTCAGCATTTTGTTATGAGAACCTCTTTAACCTAACAGCCCTAGTTTTCTTACAGAGAGGCTTATTTAGTGACTCTAATTATAGATTGGAATTTTCATCCTTTGGAATATCCCATCAGGTTATTTTTTTGTTATTTTTAATATTTCAATAAATAATGTTGTGCTTATTAATATTTTTACATACTACAGTAATTGCTTTTGTAAATTACAAGATAGAACTATTTGATGCTTTAAGTATTCTCATTATGAAGCTTACTTAGTTTAGTTATTCTAGTCGTCTTTAAAATGGTATGACAAATATGATATTTAGTAACCATGGAACATTTTGTTTTGTTTGACTATTCTTAAAGTTTTGATTGTGTTTTACTTGTTATAAAATAGAGTTCATGATGAAGAAGAGTCCCGTGTAATTAATGCTCAACGAATCAAAACCTATTTCAAATACTTGTATGACTAAGTACTAATCACTACACTTTACTTTGAATAACAAATTCTTTTTTAATGTAGTCTGTGTAGACTTTTATTTGGGGATATCGCATTATGAAGTTACATTTGTGGAAGCAGAATTCTATTCCGATTTCAAAACATGGAACGAACTTAAAAATACATGTGAACAATCAGGCTACCAACTTGTGAGCATCACCACTTCACATGAAAACGATGCAATCTTTAACTTCATCCAAGATAATTGCACACGTGGAGACTACGCCATTGGATTATCACGTGAGATGGGAATGCCTAGAATGACTAAATGTAGTTGGAACTGGGAATCCGGTGATACTGCTATGGAGTTATTTTGGGGCGGTAGCGGTTCTGAACCAAATGTTAGAGATTCTTGGTCCGCAGTAGTCTATATGACGACCCTAAACAATTTTGAACCTGGCAAATGGTACGACATCTATAAAAGTACGCGAATAGGACTTTTATCTGATAGTCCTGGATATGGTTATATTTGTGAAAAATCAATAAGTAAGTGGCAGTAAACAATCAACACCTTAAATTATTATCAGCCCACTGAAATACATAATGTGCACACAAGACTTACGTAAACCCGACACATTTCAAACACTATTACATTATAACGCTGCGCAGAGTCCGACTCTTATAAATCTCTTTTTCATTTCTCAGAAACCACGCAGTTATCCACTACTGCTGGTAGAACAACAATACAGTCACTTACCAGCCGTATACTGCTGAATTCCACTTATCATAGGCCTACAATAATATCAACCACGGCAATTACTGAAGCCAACGAAAGAAGTTGTAAGTGCTAGGCTTAAAAAAAATGTTAAAAGATGTTAACTTAATAAGGCTCTGTTCACACTATCACATATTACTTGACGAATTTGTGTGACATGTCAGTTTATTGACACGATGATGTCATATTATACATTAACACCCAAATATGGGCATATCACATTTATTTGACAAATACAATTTGATAGTTTGATAGAGCATAAAGCTTAAAAGTATACAAGAAAATATTAATCTTTTTGCAATTATAATAAATAACATTTTTTTCATTAAAGATGGGATTACATTATGTTTTCAATTTATTAACATAAGTCCAAATAATTGTTTTTTTTTCAGATTTGATGATGATCGTGATTGTATCAGCGTCACTCGTTGCAGCAATTGTAGTCCTGATTTTAATCTATAGGTGTGTATGCCAATTGTTAAACATTACTTAGTTCCGAGTTTAAAGTAGAGATCATGAATAATAATTGACTGAATTATTATATTCCTAAAGATTCTGTTGTAATTATTGTACACTAAATAGAAAGACAAAATAAAGTTTTCGGCTCGTAGAACAAGGAAGGTATAACATTTATATTATTACTTTTTGAATTCCTGGTACATATAAACTGTACATTCCCTTGATAATTATATATAATTTATATATAACATACATACAATTATTATATTACATGTTTTCAGAGGTTGGGGCAAGTTTGACATTCACCATTTACTTTTCATTCAAATATATATTTTATATACACTTATAGCATTACACCAACACGGTTTATAGAGTTGTTTAAAAACATTGTATTATGATCTATTTAGAGTAGGTCTGTATTTTATGTTTAAAAATGAGGACTTATCGTCACCTTTATCGAGTAGGAGTGATAATGATATTGACAATAAAAATGTATATTTACTTTTATAATATAAATAAACAAAATGAAACTAAACCGAAAAGACAATAAAGATAATATCTTTATTGTCTTTTCGGTTTAGTTTCATTTTTTTGCATCGTAATCAACGATTTCAGCCTGCGTATAAATAAATAAGAAAAAAAAGTAATGTTTATTTATATTATAAAAGTAAATATATATTTTTTATTATCAATATCATTATCACTCCTACTTGTATCATTTACTTTTTAATTATTTAAGGTTTCATGAACGATTGTGTTGTAAGTCAAAGACCAAAATGAACCCGGACCCTTTGATGGATAATATAGCTAAGGATAAGCCTTGTGATGCGCTGAGCCATTCTACTGAAAATGGATGCCGTGAAGTTGATAGCGAAAAAATATTAAAATGCAATACGTCGTATAAAGTTATGCCTAGTAATCGTTCTCGAAACATGCCGGGACAAGGCAAGGATCCGGGTAGGGCTAATGTCATCGAAATCCATATTCCAAATAGTCCATCCGATAATGCACTGGAAATGGAAAAATATCCATTGAATCACAGTTCAATTGCGCATGACAGACAAAATCCAAATGATTATGAATCTGAAGAGAATCCTACATACGAACGTTCTCATGATGAAAATTCGTACCGCATTTATGATGGGATTAAAAGCGACTATGAAGGTGAAATGGACAACCCGGCCTACGATGCTCTCCCGTTTGATGCAGAAAGTCTTTACTCTTCGCCGCATGAAATGGCTGATGTTGCTGGCTCTGTTGGTGCATCGAAAAAGACAGTCGTCAGTGCAAAACTTGCAGGCAATCATGATAAAGTAGCAGATTCGAGCATAGATGCTCTGTATGCAAAACCTGACATGTCAATGAAACGTAAACACCAAGTGGACAGTCCTAGCAACAATACTCTCTCATCTGAAACAGAGAGCAACTCAAGATAAAACAACGGATGTTGCTGAAAATGCTAATGTCGTAACTGCAGCAAATGCAGACGATGAGATTGACTTAGCCGACTCAAAGAAAGATGCCCAGTATGCAAAACATGACTTATCCATGTAACGTAATGAACGTATTTGACTTTAGTCCTACATTACGGTACTTTATATGACTTATCTATTTGAATTACTTTTTTGTGCATCTGTGTGATTAGGTCTGATATGTGTGGTGCTTGTGTGATAGGTGGTGTTGTAAGCTATGTACTGTATGTCTTTATGTTTATATTCGTGAGTACGGTACAGTCATGTGACTATGGGTATGCAGTTTTGTATAGACATATATGTACTTACGTATCTGTATTTCGTGTTCGTTTGTATGGTGTTTGTATAATTTGTTCATGTGTGTTAGCTTGCATCACTTTATTTTGCCTTAAGTTTTTAGTGTAAGATTGCTTTTAAGTTTTTACATGACCGAACAGTTTCTTTTTTTACTTTAGCTTAATGTCCCTTTTAAAAATTTGGATTGTTTTTTTTTTCTTAGCATAAGTCTTTTTTGTGAACTTTACTGTACACTGTGTATTGTTTTGGACGCGCACCTTCTATTGAGAAGTGTGCCACTGATTGAAAAGTGTATTTCCTAATAAACTGATTGAATTGAACTGAAACTTTAAAGCTGATGCCGCAAACGGAGTCTCTTTTTGTTTACCATAAGGTGATAAACTCGAAAAAAAACTTTGTTTACTCCAATAAACCTGGCAAATGTAACAAAACTGTACAATGAGTCCATGGAAGGAACTATCTTAGTATTAATACCGTATGTTCGAATAAGTGCCGTTTTCGAATAAGCGCCGTTCGAAAGCTGCTTATTTTTCGCTAAGCGGCGCACAGTGGGCCAGAATCAATTCAAAGTGTGCCAAAAGTCGAAAATAGGTAATGTGACAACTTTAACTTTTAAAGGTTGTTTGAGGTCGAGAACATCCTAAATTATATTAATTCACCAATAATTTCATATTTAGTGAATTTTCATAGTGTGATATAACCATGTAAACATGAAGAAGTTGTATTTTACTCGTAAAATGATAAAATTGACAGTTTTGAAAAACTCCCTATGACTTTACTTAGATGAAAGCAGTCAACTTGATACTTATTGCAGTATTTACCTATTGTTAACTAAATTAGATAGTAAAATAAAAAATGACATTATTGGTATATTTTTTTAATAAAGGACACTAAATATAAGACAAAGACGCTTAAAAACATTTTTTTCATAAAACCAACTTAAAAGTTAGAATTGCCGCCGATTTTCGTCATGCTTTAGACATCAACATTTCTGGCAGAGCCTAAGCTTTACGTTAATGCCAAGTTTAGCTGCCAATATCTGCCACCCTGCATTTAGCAAGCGATTTAATATAACCCCCCCCCCCCTCTGCAAAAGCGCCGTTTTTTAATTAAGGTATACGATAAAATCATTCCTGCAGCCATTGGGTGCCAAATGTAAAAACAGGTACACTCGATTTCCAGTGTCATATCTAGGAGTGAATTGGGGAGGAAGATCATTGGTGAATCTGGAGGGGTCAGGGTCCTGACCACACCCCTTTGGACAAAAACATTAAATAGATAAATATTTAAAAAATAATTCTAGACTTAATTTTTCAGGACCCGTAAGCTGATTATTGAATTTTGTGTTACAATTGGACAATTAAATGTCGGAAATGCTCAATCAAAATTTTGATGGGGGAGGACCCCGTTTCAAAAAAAAAGAAAAAAAAAGGGAAAAAAAGGAATGCGTTAGCAATTAATCATATTTATACCTCTACACACACAAGGGCCTCTTTACTGTATTAAAAATCAGAAAATTTACCTGACCGTTTACAATAGGGTGAACCTTGATTTTGTTTTTATTAAAGGTCATTAAAAGATACTTCAGAAGTCTGAAAAGCTCACTTCCCGCAATCTAGGAATAAAAAATTTGCCAGGGCCTAACATGATTCCGCCTCTCCCCCGGTTCCTCTTTAGGGTTCATCGATTCATTAAAAAACGTCAAGAGAGGAAACCAACATTTCAGAAGTTGAGAAAACCCGTTTCCCGACATATAGGAATCAACATTTTTCCACCACCGTCCTTTTTGGGGTTCATCGGTTCATGGAAAACAAAATAGGCCTACGTATGCAACTACTCATTTTTTATACACACATAGGCCTGTTTACTGTAATAAGAATGACAAAGTTGACATGACTGTTTTCAAGGGAGGGAAAATCTTGAACTTTAAAAAA